AGGAATTCTTTTGGCAGATATGAATTGTCTATAATGGGAGCTAATACCAGTCCTAAACAAAGAATGATGCAAATGGCACCAGTTAAATCAGTGATTATCAAATGATCAGCTGCTACAACTGACATGTATTGAACTAGAAAGCATTTTTTCTGTCTAACTTGCTACATTGTATCATTCTACTACATGGTGAACTACCCTGAAACATTGTAGTTGACAGATATTGCACAATGTTTCTTCATGCCCTACTACTCAGGGATATTGGATGTATTTACTTGGAGGCACTTTAGCGGACCTTGCTTCCTACATGCGAGTCAATAATGTTGCACTTTGCTCTGCCTAGAATTGAATCTTAAAGTGTAAAATTCACCTTCAGCAACATTTTCCAAAAATCCCTCTATGAAATTACATAACCGAATAGTACATACCAGCTCTCCTCCTGTTTCAAATGCTGCACCTCCTTCAATTACACATGCAGCTGTGTGAAGTCCTTTCCACAAAAACCACTGGCCTCCTCCATCCTGCTGTTTGCTGCTCCAGGCCATTGAAATTGCATTCATGCACAGTGCTCTTTCCTTGCTGAGCTCAGTACCGTACCGGCCATTCCAGACCATTCAAACTGTGCATGTGTGCAATGCGCTCTCTTCTTCTCTAGCTGAGCTCAGTAGCGGCCACTCCAGGCCATACAAACTGTGCATGTGTGCAATGCGCTCTCTTCTTCTCTAGCTGAGCTCAGTAGCGGCCACTCCAGGCCATTCAAACTGTGGATGTGTGCAGTGCGCTCCCTTCTTCTCTAGCTGAGTTAATTAGCAGCCACTCCAGGCCATTCAATCATGTGTGTAGTGCGCTCTTTTCTTCTTTATCTGAGCTCAGTAGCGGCCACTCCAGGCCATTCAAACTGTGGCTGTGTGCAGTGTGCTCTCTTCTTCTCTAGCTGAGCTCAGTAGCGGCCTTTCCAGGGCATTCAGACTGTGCATGTGTGCAATGCGCTGTTTTCTTCTCTAGCTGAGCTCAGTAGTCGCCACTCAAGGCTATTGAAAATGCGCATGTGTACAGTGCGCTCTCTTCTCTAGCTGAGCTCAGTAGCAGCCACTCCAGGCCATTTAAACTGTGGATGTGTGCAGTGTGCTCTCTTCTGCTCTAACTGAGCTCAGTAGTGGCCACTCAAGGCTATTCACACTGCGCATGTGTGCAGTGCGCTCTCTTCTTCTCTAGCTGAGCTCAGTAAAGCCATTCCAGACCATTCAAACTGTGCATGTGTGCAGTGTGCTCTCTTCTTTGAGCTCAGTAGCAGCCACTCCAGGCCATTCAAACTGTGCATGTGTGCAGTGCGCTCTCTTCTTTGAGCTCAGTAGCAGCCACTCCAGGCCATTCAAACTGTGCATGTGTTAAGTGCCCTCTCTTCTGCTCTAGCTGAGCCCCGTAGTGGCCCACTCCAGGCCATTCAAACTGTGCATGTGTGCAGTGCGCTCTCTTCTTTGAGCTCAGTAGCAGCCATCCAGGCCATTCAAACTGTGCATGTGTTCAGTGCCCTCTCTTCTGCTCTAGCTGAGCCCCGTAGTGGCCACTCCAGGCCATTCAAACTGTGGATGTGTGCAGTGCGCTCTCTTCTGCTCTAGCTGAACTTAGTAGCAGCCATTCCAGGCCATTTAAACTGCGCATGTGTTCAGTGCGCTTTCTTCTTCTTTATTTGAGTTCAGTAGTGGCCATTCCAGGTCATTCAAAGAGCGCATGTGTGCAGTGCGCTCTCTTCTGGGTGGGTGAAGATGGAAGCATCAGGAGAGCCATAACAGCACTGCTCTGGATGGCTCTGTCTGCAGGTAAGTCTGTCATAATGTGCTAGTATGTGGTGCATACTAGTACGCTTTGACTTACATCTACGGGGGACCAGCTTTTTTTTTTTCTTTTTAGGACACGACTTTACTACCGCTTTAAACATGCTGATTAAAATTGCTTTCACAAGTACTATTTGTTCATGAGCATTGAGGAGCGCCATATCATATAAACTCCTAAAATGTGAGAAATGGCACAGTAACCCCTTAGTCCTATTTCAGGACTGGTATATTCAAAGGTATTGTACACGTTTCAATGTTTTTTTTTTTTTTTTAACTAGGTTCTGGTTACATTATGCAGGTGCAACAGGGTGTGTGCGTCTCCACGCATTGCATGTAGGGCAGCCCATTAATTTCAGTTGGCTGCCCTAAATATGACAAATGTGCAAAAACATCACTGACTCTTATGCAGAATTGTACTGCTCCGAAATGCAGTTAATGGTACTGCCACGTGTCTGTAAAAAAGGGTAGTGCGCTTCTGTGAGTATCAGGGACTGTGAGGAAAGCGCACAATTTGGCATGCATTCCCAACATGTGCAAGTGTGAATATAGCCTTAATATTCAGTATTTATAGTCCCTGTGCTGTTTGTTTGCCTTACCTTGTAACACGATGGGCTCACGTGTTGTGTTGTCGCTGCAGATGGTAGTGTCATGGTTAATTGATTCTCCTATGTCCATGTATTCATTCACCTAGTTTGTCCCTACTTGCTAAAAGGCCATATAAACCTCCTGTTCCAGGTCACATGGGGGTTTATTTACTAAAGCTGGAGAGTCCCAAATCAGACTCCCTTCTGCATAGAAACCAATCAGCTTCTAACCTCAGCTTGTTCAATGAAGCTTTGGCAATGAAACCCGGAAGCTGATTGGTTTCTATGCAGAAGGGAGTCTGATTTTGGACTCTCCAGCTTTAGTAAATAAACCCCATGGTGTCCAAGTTCTCTGTGTAAGTGTACAATCCAAACACACACGTTCCTACTGTGTGTATAAGTGGGTGCTGCAGCGACCGTCGGCTGGAACCGAACAGAATCAGTAAGGGAGAATGTCACCAGCACAGCGAGGATCACCAATATGGGTCAAAAAGTTTTAATGAACGATCACATAGTTAAAGCAAGACAACGTTTCGGAGTCTCACAGGACCCCTTCATCAGGCACCAAGGATCACCAATATGGCCCCAAAGTTTTAATGAATGATCACATAGTTACAGCAAGGCAACGTTTCGGAGTCTCGCAGGACCCCTTCATCAGGCACCAAGGATCACCAATATGGCCCCAAAGTTTTAATGAATGATCACATAGTTACAGCAAGGCAACGTTTCGGAGTCTCGCAGGACCCCTTCATCAGGCACCAAGGATCACCAATATGGGTCAAAAAGTTTTAATGAAGGATCACATAGTTACAGCAAGACAACGTTTCGGAGTCTCGCAGGACCCATTCATCAGGCATCAAGGATCACCAATATGGCCCCAAAGTTTTAATGAATGATCACATAGTTACAGCAAGGCAACGTTTCGGAGTCACCCCTTCATCAGGCACCAAGGATCACCAATATGGGTCAAAAAGTTTTAATGAAGGATCACATAGTTACAGCAAGACAACGTTTCGGAGTCTCGCAGGACCCATTCATCAGGCATCAAGGATCACCAATATGGCCCCAAAGTTTTAATGAATGATCACATAGTTACAGCAAGGCAACGTTTCGGAGTCTCGCAGGACCCCTTCATCAGTCCCTTGTGACTCTGAAACATTGCCTTGCTGTAACTATGTGATCGTTTATTAAAACTTTGGGACCCATATTGGTGATCCTCGGTGTTCTGGTGACATTCTCCCTTGCAAGTTCTCTGTGTGTCTGTGAATGCTCTGCCTGTTTGTCACTATGTTAGATCCAAATTACTGTGCAGCTCTCACTTGGACCAGTGCTAGACTGAGAGACCCATAGGATTTGTAGTTTCTTCACAGGAATATGCGGTTCTCAAACTACAGACAGAGGTCATGCAATAACATGTGCAATGCCACACATTATGCCTCATGTATGAACACAATAAACTGCCGATACTGGAATGTGAAGAATTACTGTACTGTACATACAGGGCAACAAATGACACCATGAAACTGCATGACCAATGTACATCGTATGCAAATGAAAAGAGCAAGGTGCAGGTAGGAAGGTTTACAGCGGCTTTAAGCGCACGTCATATAACTCCACCCAATCAGAGCATTCATCAGGTTTCAACTGAGAATCGCAACTCAAGAAATCAAGATGGTATTCTTCTCTTTTTTATGGGCTTCTATCCTTATATGTCTGCTGACATTAAATTCTTTCAAGCAGAGCTTGATCCATCTGCAGCACATCTCCATTAAAGTGGAGGTCTGAGCAAAGCCTATCTAATCTTAAAGTGTTACTAAACCACAATAGTAGAATCAGTCTGTATATGCAGTAAAGCATGCTTGTTATACTCACTGTGGAACTTGAGGAGTTAATCCTCTGTATTGTGTAAAAATGCTGTTTGTTCCTGTCTTCTCTGATCCTCCCCTTCTTCCAGGGCACCCCTCTTATCTCCTGATAAGTCATATCTTGTGGAGTCACTCAGCACATGCTCAGTTTGGTCTGTATTGCTAGAAAGGTTTTTTTTTTTCTTGGGAGAGTGCATGTGATCAGCACAGGGCCAACCAGCACTATCCAGACAGAGGTCAGGGGTCCTGCATCCTCCTAGAGGAGAATGAAAACTCCTCCTACAAGCTTTAACCAGTGCTCTGCTGGTCACTGATAGAAGTCACAAGACTACTCTAATTGCTGATGAGAAAAGGTATTTAGCAGTTTATATTTACTAAAATAATTGCATTTCCATGTTCTGTGTACTGTGGGAGACTAGATATAGTGAATGCAGGGTCCGGGGAGACCAGATATAGTGAATGCAGGGTCCTGGCAGACCAGATATAGTGAATGCTGGGGCCGGGGAGACCGGATATAATGAATGCAGGGTCCGGGGAGACCGGATATAGTGAATGCAGGGTCCGGGGAGACCGGATATAGTGAATGCAGGGTCCGGGGAAACCAGATATAGTGAATGCAGGGTCCGAGGAAACCAGATATAGTGAATGCAGGGTCCGGGGAGACCAGATATAGTGAATGCAGGGTCCGGGGAGACCGGATATAGTGAATGCAGGGTCCGGAGAGACCGGATATAGTGAATGCAGGGTCCGGGGAGACCGGATATAGTGAATGCAGGGTCCGGGGAGACCGGATATAGTAAATGCAGGGTCCTGGGAGACCAGATATAGTGAATGCAGGGTCCGGGGAGACCGGATATAGTGAATGCAGGGTCCGGGGAGACCAGATATAGTGAATGCAGGGTCCGGGGAGACCAGATATAGTGAATGCAGGGTCCGGGGAGACCAGATATAGTGATTGCAGGGTCCGGGGAGACCAGATATAGTGAATGCAGGGTCCGGGGAGACCAGATATAGTGAATGCAGGGTCCGGGGAGACCAGATATAGTGATTGCAGGGTCCGGGGAGACCAGATATAGTGAATGCAGGGTCCGGGGAGACCAGATATAGTGAATGCAGGGTCCGGGGAGACCAGATATAGTGATTGCAGGGTCCGGGGAGACCAGATATAGTGAATGCAGGGTCCAGGGTTTAGTAATACTTTAAAGGATAAGTTCAGCTTTCATAACATGTTACATGTTACACCTATATTCAGGGTGTAACATCTAACATGTTATGAAAGCACCGGCGCCTGCTTACCTTCTGATCCACCATTTTGACAGCTAGCGGGGAATCTTCTCCATTTAAAAGACTTGGCCGTTTGGGGCTCCTCCCGCCGAGCCGCTTCTTTCATTCACAGTGTTCTCTGAATGAATGAGCTACAAGTCCCGACAGTCTTAGTGGCTTTCGGCTTGTAGTCCTCAATGAATAAAGGAGTATTTGACTGCAGACATAATACAGGAGATGGCTGGAGACCACGGATGTGATACAGGAGATGGTTAGATACTGAGGACACAATACAGGAGATAGCCAGATACTGCCAACATAATACAGGAAATAATGGATGCAATATGGGAGGTGGTCAGATACTTTGGCCGCAGTTTGGGAAATGGTCAGATACTGTGGGGGGCAATATGGCCTGGGACTGTGGACATGACACAGAAGATGGTCTAGGAATGCCATCCTGATATAGGAGGTGGTCTGAGGCCGTAGACTTGATACATAAAGCAGTCATTGCAACCTCTTTTACAAATTAAACCTCCCTTATTTGTGCTCCCAACATCTCCATTAAAATATGTACTGTTGCCACATTTGAAATAGATGTTTTCCATCAATGTAGCAGTAGATACTCACTGGTATGTGTTTATTGTATTGCCACTTTGTCTTGCAGTCACAGAAGATTTGATCAGGAGACGAGCAGAACACAATAACTGTGAAATCTTCTCCTTGGAAGAACTTTCACTTCACCAGCAAGATCTTGAAAAGATTGATCATCTGGACAAATGGTGCAAGGAACTGAAAATCCTTTACCTCCAGAACAATCTCATACCTAAAATAGGTGAGCGAGCAGATGCTGGACCCACCAGAATTTCACAATATAATACTGAGATGAATGTTGTTATTATTAAATTTTGAATGTGGATGAAGTGTCTTCCGGCCCTAATATTGGTCATATGGCAACTCCATGTCTAATGCAAATCACTGTAACTTTGCAGGATGTATAGCTTACTCTTTTTGATGGTATCCTTGAAGAAAATTGAGGATTTTCCCCCTAAATTAATTGGCTATATCTGATGCTTTGACCAATAAATACTTTATATGAATCACCAAGCTAAGTGACTGTTTAGTCTCCGTGCTCCTAACCCCAGATGCAAGAATATATTAGGTTTTAGTTTTAGGCAGTTAGTTTGGATTGGCACTGAAAGGAAGAAAGGGGGGTTGCTGTTACACAATGAAATAAAAGGCCTAAAACAGATTTAAAGACTAGAGTTTCATACACTTAGTTTGTCACTGGGGCAGAAAAAGTGGGAAATCTAAAATGTTATAGCAGTCGCCATAACAGGAGGTAAGGGAAATGTTCCAAAGGGGACACTGGTTCTGGTGACCACTGTCTAAGGTCCACTTTTCACATGGCCATCCTGTTTTAGTGCAATACCAAATACATGTTAACATGTAAAATTTTGTGAGTTATCATGGTGCGATAAGGCAGCCTGTTCATTTATAATGATGTTCTGATGCATGGCAACAGAAGAAAAGAATTACATTTTTTTAATGTAGTGCACCACGGTGCGTGGCATGTGTGTTGGAGTACAGGTCTGTCAGCACCTACTGTATTTGTGAGTTAGGATTCCAATCTTAATAAATTACCCTGCAACATATTACACAGAGTGTCATGCATTGCAGTAAAGCAGGGATCTCCATACTTTCTAAATAAAGAGCCAGTTTACTGTCCTTCCGAATTTTAGACTGGCTAGACTGTGGCCAGTTGGGGCAATAAATTCACCAGTGTCAGTGGGAGTAAATAATGATTTCAGCTTGGTGGTCAGTGGGAAACAATGACTTAGTCTTGGTGGTCAGTGGGAGTAAACAATGACTTAGTCTTGCTGGTCAGTGGGAGTAAAAAAAAAAATACATAGCACCTGTGGTCAGTAAGAGGAGGAATAGCGTCAGTGGTGTCAGTGGCCGGAATAGTGCCCCATCGTGGGCATCAGTGGTTGGAATAGTGCCTCATCATTATTATCAGTGGGAGGAATGGTGCCCCATCATTGGTTTCAGTGGTTGGAGTAGTGCCCCATCATTGGTATCGGTGAGAGGAATAGTGCCCCATCATTGGTGTCAGTGGGAGGAATAGTGTCCCATCATTGGTATCAGTGAGAGGAATAGTGCCCCATCATTGGTATCAGTGAGAGGAATGGTGCCCCATCATTGGTATCAGTGAGCGGAATGGTGCCCCATCATTGGTATCAGTGAGAGGAATGGTGCCCCATCATTGGTATCAGTGAGAGGAATAGTGCCCCATCATTGGTGTCAGTGAGAGGAATGGTGCCCCATCATTGGTTTCAGTGGTTGGAGTAGTGCCCCATCATTGGTATCAGTGAGAGGAATAGTGCCCCATTATTGGCATCAGTGAGAGGAATAGTGCCCCATCATTGGTATCAGTGGGAGGAATAGTGCCCCATCATTGATGTCAGTGGGAGGAATAGTGTCCCATCATTGGTATCAGTGGGAGGAATAGTGCCCCATCATTGGTATCAGTGAGAGGAATGGTGCCTCATCATTGGTATCAGTGAGAGGAATGGTGCCCCATCATTGGTGTCAGTGAGAGGAATGGTGCCCCATCATTGGCATCAGTGGGAGGAATGGTGCCCCATCATTGGTGTCAGTGAGAGGAATGGTGCCCCATCATTGGCATCAGTGGGAGGAATGGTGCCCCATCATTGGTATCAGTGGTTGGAGTAGTGCCCCATCATTGGTATCAGTGGTTGGAGTAGTGCCCCATCATTGGTATCAGTGGTTGGAGTAGTACCCCATCATTGGTATCAGTGGTTGGAGTAGTGCCCATCATTGGTATCAATGAGAGGAATAGTGCTCCATCATTGGTATCTGTGAGAGAAATGGTATCATTGGTGTCAGTGGGAGGAATGGTGCTTCATAAGTGTCAGTGTTTAACAGTCTGCTTCCTAACTACATATATTTTTTAATCATTATTTATTTATTGTTAGAAAATGTTGGCCGTTTGAAAAAACTGGAATATTTGAACTTAGCTTTGAACAACATTGAAAGAATTGAGAACCTGGAAGGTATGTGTACATTTTTTTTTCACAACACACACAATCCAGACTGCTATCCATGTGGTGTTCTGTACATAAACTGTGACACCATGTACAATGTTTACAAAGTGGTGCAGATCTAATGGGGGTGAGAGGGGAGTTTGGGGAGAAGCAAGAGGGGAGTGGAGAGAAGGGAGTGGAGGACTAGGTAGGAAAGACACAGGTGTGTTTCAGTGGTTCCACCCCAACTGCGAGGTAAGGCTGCATATGATAACGGTAGCACAAGGCACTGAGCAATTTGAAATGTTCAAGGTCAGTGGGAGGAATAGTGCTCCATTGTTGGTGTCAATGGAATAAATGGGGCTTCATCGTTGGTGTCAGTCATAGTACCATGTTATGATACTACTCTTTTAAAAAAGAGCTTCACCCTACCTAGCTCGAATTTTACTTGATAATTGTTCCTGTATGTAAATAAAAAAGACAAAAAAAATCATACTAGTTAAATGAGTCCAGTTTTGTCCACCTTCTAGCCCTAAGTTCTTTGTCACTCTGCTCCCACTCCTCCATCTTGGAATGATATCCTGCAAATAGACAGGTCTCTGCTGGGTATATGGGACCTGGCAGAGACCTGTAGTGTGTCACATTCGCAGACCACTGTGCTCTTCTGCTTGTACCCATAGACTTGCAGAGTCCTACACATTGGGGGTTATTTACTAAAGCTGGAGAGTGAAAAATCTGGTGCAGCTCTACATAAAAACCAATCAGCTTCCAGGTTGGTTTTGTTAAAGCTTAATTGAACGAACTGAAGTTAGAAAGAAGCTGATTGGCTATCATGCACATCCATTGGCTTCCTCAGAAGTTACCTGTTTCCTGACAGTAATTAAAGCTGAGAAAGCCGTTTTGGTCAGCAACAACAAGTTCACAGAGGGCTTCTGAGGTTCACATTTGCAGATGAATTGACGATCTCCCACTGCTCACCATCCTGAGACTGTTTCTGGATGTTTGGTGACATGAAATGGAGGAGTTCAGGACAAGGACCACTTTAATTGCACATAATGTGATCATGTTTAGCGAATAACTTCTACAAATGTGCCACAACCCAACTCTCAGCTGCCATTGTGCCTGAGTTCATTTCTCCTGTGCAATAGTACGTAGTTTCTGTGGTTGCAGTGGAAGCGTTAAAAAGACTTTCATGTTGCCATTATAAGTAGAATAGTGCCGTTGGTGGTTTATTTTGATTCTCGGGTACAATTTTCAGCTGCGTGTGGTTTTTTGTAACCCTTTATTTATTAGGCGTCACATGGGGTAAGCATAAATCACGTTGTTTACAGTAATCGGTGGCTTTTCACAGCCGGGTGTATATCTTTATGGGTTTTTTTGGGTCTTAGATATCCATTGATCCAGGCATATGTCATTTTCTTCACAGGACTTCTTCACTCACAAGTGACTTGTGTTATTTAGTTCAAGATCAACTAAATCAATAAAGAAGGGCACAATATGTAGTGTGAAACTGTCATCTCACACCACAGGGTTCCCAAGGGGTCGCTGAGAATGGACAGTCAACCAAAAATTTCTAGCCCCACCAGCATCTCCCCCCAACTAGTGCACCATAAACAGACTCTGACACCAATCTAAATTGTTGCAGAAGGGCTGAAGATCAATTGGCACCACATCCCGTATATTAGACTCTGTCAACAATTTTAAAAAATGCAGGTAAAATTAAAATCAAGTATTTGTAACGTTTGAGCTGGCCAGAGACAGATCAAAATTCAGCCGGCTGAATTTCGAACTGTGTGCAGCTGTCCCTGTTTGACAGAAGTCGATTACATTCACTGAATATTATGTGCAGCCATTTGGTGATGTCTGGAGCCGCATCTGAGGCCCCCTGTATCATGTAATTTGAATAACACTCTACTATAGAGTGTCATTTGAGGGACAGCTCTGATTCTGCTGGGGCAGCTAACATCACATCCA